GGCCTAGACCCTTCAGGGTCTAGGCCCGAAACGTCAGCCTTCCTGCTCCTCTGATGCTGCTTGGCCTGCTGTGTTCATCCAGCTCTACACCTTGTTATCTCAGATTCTCCAGCATCTGCAGTTCCTACTATCTCTCTAACTGTGGTGTTGGGTCTATCGCTATCTGTTGGTAAGTGTCAGTATTTGCCAGTAGTGCATTAGCTTTCTCGATGTAATGGGCCCTATTAAAGATTTCTGAAGAAGGGTCCAGACCCGAAACGTCAGCTTTCCTGCTCCTCTGATGCTGCCTGGCCTGCTGTGTTCATCCTGCCCTACACCTTGTTATCCCTATTAGGGATTGCTGTCATGCATCCTTTATCCGCCACTAAGATTACGATGGTTCTATCTTTCTTGAGTCTTTCCAGGGCTTTCTTCTCTTCTGTGTTGAATGTGTTCCACTTACCATTTCTGCTCAGTGTTGGGACTATCGTCTGTCTGATGGTCTGTTGTATTTCCTCCGTGAGTCCGTTGCTCTTTAGTGTCAATTCCAGTGCAGCAGGAAGTCAGTTTTTTTGGCGTCTCTGTAGTTATAAATCAGTCTACGTACTAGACGGTCTTCTCAGTGTCTGTAAGTGGTCTATCTGAGATGGAACTCCATAAACAAACACATTGAACTGGATCCGATATACAAACTACTGAAAAACAGAACTGGAGTGGTACCAACAACGCTAGCAAACTGAGGCATATAAATAACAAGTGGGACAGAACACCAAAGCTTCACCGGCGGCGCACTGACGATGTTACCTAGCAGGGTGACGAAATGTCTGCAATCAAACACAAAGGCTCGGCAAGCAAGTCTACAACCTCATCCACACCCAAGCTACAAATCTTCTCAAAAACTTTAATCTGTAGCTTGTTACCCGAGTTGTACAGAATTAGTACTGAAATAAACAAATTAGATTAAATGTGAGACTTAAGAAGTTGTGTGGAAGTCAGAGATTTAACTTCATGGTGCACCAAAATCTAAACTGTGAAATAAAGTAGGCAGTTCCCTTGGGACTGATTCCATGTAAACAATATTCTCATCATAGGTTTGGCAAATAAATAGTTGGTCCAGATGAATAAAAGACTGGTTAAAGAGTAGCTGGCTGGGGTGTTTAAGAGGATTCAAGCAAAGGTAAATTGAAAACAAGGCTCTAGAATAAAACAGTATTTTGGGTAAAAATAAGCAGAGCGATATACAGTGTGGGTAACAAAGCTAATAGACCATTAAAGACAAAGGTGATGTAAGGGAAATTTGGAAGAACGATAAAGTTAAAAGCATTATATCTGAATTTGCAAAGTATTTGCAACTATTTAGATGAATTCATTGCACACAGAAATCCAAAGGCTTCCTCTAGTAGCCATTATGGAGCATCATTCTAGCCTAACATCTGTGGTAGAGTCTATAATAATGTATGGGATAACTGAACACCTGGAAAATTTCAGTTGATTGGGAGAACCAGAATGGATTCATGACAGGTAGATCATGCCAAAAGAAAACAGAACTGGAAGTAATGCCAATCACCCCAGCAAGCCGAGGCATATAAATAACAAGAAAGATAGAATACCAACACTCCACCAGAGGCGGACTGACGACGTTACCTAGCAGGGTAACGAAACGTCTGCAACACTGTCTCGGCGTGCAACTCTACAACCTCATGCTACAGATTACTAATAGAAAGGATCTGCTTCATAATCTGGACCCTGACTCCTCATATTCTCTCAGCAAAACATTGTTCCTCATTCCATCTGTAGGTACCTACAGACAGATCCTCCCCTCCTACACTAATTCTTCTTGAGCTGTCAGGCAGTATCTTTAACCCTGGAATGAAGCAGAAAATACACAACTTATGACCATTTCCAAGCCTTGGGTAAAAAATTACAAATTCTCCCAATGATGTAAATGGGGTTTAACCTGCAGTTCTTAAAGAAAGACTTCACTACCATCATGCAGACATCCTGCTCGTCGGCTCAAAACAGCAGGTTTGAGAACATAGAATATAGAACAGTACAGCACAGTACAGGCCCTTCAGCCCACAATGTTGTGCCACAAATTATGCTACTCTAAGATCAAAATACCCTGCATACCTTTCATTTTACTATCATCCATGTGCCTATCCAAGAGTCGCTCGAATATCCCTAATGTATCTGACTCCACGACCACCGCTGGCAGCGCATTTCACGCACCCACCACTCTCTGTAAAGAACCTACCTCTGACATCTCCCCTATACCTTCCTCCAATCACCTTAAAATTATGTCCCCTCGTAATAGTCATTTCTGCCCTGGGAAACAGTCTCTGGCTATCCACTCTATCTATGTCTCTCATCATCTTGTACACCTCTTTAAAGTCACCTCTCATCCTCTTCGTTCCAATGAGAAAAGCCCTAGCTCCCTCAACCTTTCCTCATAAGACCTGCCCTTCAGTCCAGGCGGCATCCTGGTAAATCTCCACTGCACCCTCTCCAGAGCATCCACATCCTTCCTATAATGAGGCGACCAGAACTGAACACAATATTCCAAGTGTGGTCTAACCAGGGTTTTATAGAGCTGCAGCACAACCTCACAGCTCAAGAAACCTGGGCTTGTCTGAGTTGAACTCGGGACCTCATACATATCAACACTATACAGTAGCCTAAGCGAGAATCATACCCCTAGACCAACAAGCCGTTGGTCACCCTAGATCGATAGACAGAAATATAAATAGAAAGGTAGAAAAATAGAAAGATAGAATGACTATGATAGAAAGAAATGTGGTCAGTGAGATTAAGTCACAACGACCACTTTAATTGCCCATGTGTCCAATTACTGCTAAGTGTCAAAACATGGTTTTCAAATCTCTGACCATCTGATGCACACTCGTTACTGTCAAAGCTCTGTATTGGGTGTACTGCAGACATCCAATGCTCCATACTTACATTTCCATCTGAGTAGTGAATTATGCTGATATCAAAGTTGTGGAAAAGTTGAATTTCAATAGCTGACTCATAATACCCATAAGTCTTGTAAACATAAATTACACAAAGGCAGGAAAGGCAAAGTTCACATACTTACTGAAATATAATAATCATGGACTTTATTTTTATGACCAACCTTGTCAGCTTTGTTCCAATTTGCTGCCTCATTTCAAGTCTCTCTTCATCTGTCTGCATAGGAATAATGTTTTTTTCCTCCAACTCGCGCTTTGATGGTCTATTGCTCAATTTTATTGCCAAAGAGTCTTTCCTGCAAATCTTTAGTGCTAATGAACCTAGAAATAAATCAAAGGAAATGATGTGGGATCTGGCAGATTATGGAAAATCAACACAACTGAGGCATAGTAAAAGCTGTTATTTTAAAGTTATGGTTAGAGAACCAACAATATACACAACTTTTCTGTTTCTATCGGTTTCTTTCCCTCATGAAGCTACTGACATATTGCAGGGATAACACAGTGTGGAGCTGGAGAAACTCAGCAGGCCAGGCAGCATCAGAGGATCAGGAAAGCTGACGTTTCGGGTCAGGACCTTTCATTTCTGAAGAAGGGTCCCGACCTGAAATGTCAGCTTTCCTGCTCCACTAATGCTGCCTGGCCTGCTGTGTTCCTCCAGCTCCACGCTGCGTTATCTCTGACTCCAGCATCAGCAGTTCTTACTATCTCTGAGTGACATATTGCAGGGCTGTGTTTTATGCTCCCAGGAACTTTAGCCAAGTATGTGCTTCTCATTGGTGAGATCAGACTGTCAGATGCTTGCAGGAGGGTTCATTAGAAGCCTAATGCTATCCTCACTTTCCTCCAATTGGCATGAGACGATCATTCTAACCATAAGGTTTGGTCAGCCTGCCCTAGCCAGAGTGCTGAGGACAAGCACAATGGTTGCTTCACCTGAGATTAAGTAACTCAGCACAAAATATGGACTGAATCTGGAACCTTTCTGGTTCCAGACAAAACTGAAGGAGCCATCAATGATCCAATATTTATGTTTAAGGCTTTTTTTCTGCAAGGTTGTTTGAAAATAAACAACATGATTAATGGCTCAGAACTTGAATGTTGCTGAAAAAAGCTGTTGGTGTTGGAGATTTTCATCTTGCATATCAAGAAAAATGCAAGAATGCCAAATTTCAAATTATAATTTATATTACAGGAGAAAAGCCAGGGGTGGGGGTTGCTGATTGACTGACCATTATTATCATGGAGAAATCAGTGTGGAGTTTCAGTATGACAGCAGTGTGAAGCTTTCCAAGCTTCCTGGTAATTCAAAAAATGTTCAAGGATTGCATATATTCCTTTATGTGAGTCCATATTCCCTGCCCACTTGCCAATCAATCAGCACCATTTTCTCCTGTAGTATAAGTTGTGATGAGTTGAAATTTGAAATTCCTGTAGTTGTCCTGATGAGTGCAAGATGAAAAGTTTTGACAATTTATCTCTCTGTTCAGCAAAATTAATGATAAACAGTCATGCAACAGTCACACAACACAGGGGGCGACACGGTGGCTCAGTGGTTAGCACTGCTGCCTCACGGCACCAGGGTCCCAGGTTAGATTCCACCCTTGGGCAACTGTCTGTGTGGAGTTTGCACAATCTCCCCGTGTCTGCGTGGGTTTCCTCCGGGTGCTCCGGTTTCCTCCCACAGTCCAAAGATGTGCAGGTTAGGTGGATTGGCCATGCCAAATTGCCCATAGTGTTCAGGAGATGTGTAGCTTAGGTGGGTCATAGGGGGATGGGTCTGGGTGGGATGCTCCAAGAGTCGGTGTGGGCTTGTTGGGCCAAAGGGCCTGTTTCCACACTGTAGGGATTCTATTCTATGAAGATAAGCTTCAAAGGCACACAGGTTGAAGCCTGACTGCTGTTGATTTATTTGTCAGCAAGTCTGATTTCCTCTGGTACTTGCAAGGCATTAACATCTTAACATTGCTTGTTCATACTTGTGAAAAAATTATCAATTTCATCATCATCATCGTCGTCATCGTCATTATCATCATCATCATCCTCATCTTCTTCCCCATGCATACTGAAAGTGTCTTCATAGTCTGATTCATTAGGCACATTTTCTTTGTCATCATCGTAATCAACCACTATTGTTGGCACTTGTCTAATGTCAGGTGTATTGCTTTTTCCTGGTTTTGTTCCACTTTCTCCAGTATACAGTGCAGAACTGCCAAAACAGAAAGAAAAAATAAATAAAACAGCAAAACACAGCATTATACAAGGCCAAGGATGTCCCTCAATTCAATTCAGGGCAATTATCTTGGTACCTATCTTAAATTGGACAGTAAATTGACATATTGTCTATGTCACTATTCTTACACAGAGGTTTGAGAAATAGAACTCAAAAGGAAAAAAGTTATGCTAAACTTATGCAGACCTTACTGTGTTCATTTCTGACCTCCATTTTACAAAAAAGAATACAGAAGGACTGAAAATGCAAATAGATTTTACAGAGCTGAGACGGTAAATTATCTGGGAGACTTAACAGGCTGGGGTTTCTTTCTCCAGAAAAGAGAAGAGTGAGATGTAACCTGGAAGGTATCTTTAAATTTATGAAATGAATTAATAGGATTGATGCAGAGAAGGTCTTTTCACTAGTAGAGGAGCCCAAAACTGCAAACATGATATTGTAATATTTGAAGATAAAAATTATCCTAAAATCCTCTTTTCACATTAAGGTACCTCCTATGTACCTTATTTTTCTTTACTCTAGAATCATTACAGTATAAGAGGAGGCAATTCAGACCTTTGATTCATGTAATCTTTGTAGAACAGTCCAAACAGTTTTATTCCATTGTTCCATCACTTTATTCCTATGAGTTTATTTTCCTCATGTCCATCCAATTTTCTTTTAAAATAATTGATCATATCTGTTTCCACAACGCTAATAGGCAGCAGGTTTCAAGTCATTTCCACTGGCTATGTAAAAAAAGTTCTTCCCCACATATCCCTTTATCCCTTTCCCAAAGAATATGTCCCCTAGAATGGTCGCATCAGCAAATAGAACCACGTTCTCTTAAAAACTGATCCACATCTATTGTAATCTTGTACAGTCTACCAAATCTTCCCTCATCCCGTTTGTTCTAAGAACAACCACAATCTTTTGTGCATAAGATCTCTCATAGAGTTAGAGAGTCATACAGCACGGTGCAACCAGTCCATGTCAAACATCATCCCAAACTAAATTAGACACCCCCTGCCTGTTCCTGGCCCATATTCCTTAAACTTTTACTATTCATGTACTTATCTAAATGTCTTTTAAACGTTGTACTTGTGCCACATCCACCACTTCCTCAGGAAGTTCATTCCACATATAAACCACCCTCTGTGTAAAAAAATTGCCCCTCGTGTCTTTTTTAAATCTCTATCCTCTCACCTTAAAAATGTGTCCCCTAGTCTTGAAATCCCCCATCCCAGGGTAAAGAAAGTATTCTGTTAAAACTCCGCTGCATTCTCTCAAATACATTCATAAGCTAAAGTGTGGTGATCAAAAATGGATGCAATACTCTGATCCAACAAGAGCTTTATAAATGTTCAGCATCTCTTCTGAGCTTTGTACTCAACGTTTTTATTTATAAAGTCCAAATTTTTAGGTGCCTGTAATGCATTGCCAGGGGAGGTAGTTGAAGCAGATAAACAGTAATGTTTAAGAGGCATTTACACAGACAAATAATCAGGCAGGGAATTGAGGGACATGGATCAGGTGTACGTAGATGGGGTTATTTTGGATTGGCATCATGGTCGGCACAGACATAGTGGGCTGAATGGCCTGTTCCTCCGTTGTACTGTTCTATGTCTGAGCAGGTTGACTAAAATAACTAAATGAGGAATAAATAATCAGTGGCAAACATAAACAGAAATTGCTGGAGAAACTCAGGAGGTCTGGCAGCAATCAGGGAGATAAAACAGAGTTCACACTTCGAGTCCAGTGATCTTTCTTCAGAACAATCATTGGTTAGATTTTTGTGACCTGTAAGCTGGAAAAAAGCTCTGACTAGAACAGCATCTATCTGGACTCTGGCCAATCTTCAATGTTTAATGTTTAACACTGCCTTTCTCTAAGCCTTCTGAAAACAATGCACCTTCTCACATCCATTATTTATGCACACATGACACTGATCCTTTTATTTCATGAGCCTTAATTTTGTTTACAAGGCAAAAGCTTTCCTAAAATGCATACTGACAGCATTCATTGCATTTCCTTTATCAACCCACATTGTTACTTTATCAATAAGTTAAATTCTCACAGTCAAACATGATCTGTCCTTAACAAAACAATGCTGACTCTCCTTCATTAATTCAAACTTTGACAAGTGTCTTTGACTTAGTTCTTTGATTATTGTTTCTAAACCCTAAACCATGGAAAGCTGATGGTCTGTATTTACTAAGCATGTTTTCACACCCTTTCTTGAACACTGCTACCCTCCATCCCTCTGGCACCTTCAACATATCCAGGGAAGGTGTGAATATTCTGGTAATCCCTACTGCTACCTCCACCCCCATTTTCTTTAGCAATTTAGGATGAAATCTTTTCTGATCAGTTGACTTATCATGCTAGGTTTTTCCAGAAGATGCTACGAATTAATTTCAATCCATCATCATTTCCCTCTCCATGGATGACTTGCCCACATTCCACCTCTAAGTCAAAACGAAGTAATCAACAAGTACTCTAGCTTTGCTCTGAGCCTCTAACCGTGTCTCACCTCTTTGTCTCTGACAACCTAGACCTGCCTCTTACAACCTTCTTATTATTTGCATATGGGTAAAATATTTTTAGGTTCCCTTTTATGTTAACTGCAATTCTGTTCTCATATGCTCTCTTTGCCAGACATTTTTTTTTCTTTTCACCTCCCTTTTCAACATATTGTATTTGGTCTGATTTTCATTTGAAGAATTCACTTGAATAGCATCATACATCTTTTTTGTTTCATCAGATTCGCTATCTACCATGCAGAAGTAGATCAATTTCAGAGGAAGGGTAAATAGGTACAGGAGGAAGAAAAGAACAAAAAAAATTCCCGGATTGGGTTAATGAAGTAGAGTGGGATTAACTGCGTGATTAGTAGGGTTAAATAGCCTGGTTCTGTGCTTTAAATTTCTTTCTAAGTTAATGTAGGACAGATGACTGTTCAATCAAGTTCTCAAGCTAGTTACTGATTAAATTTACCAGCAACAAAAATCTAGATCATTTGATTCTGTCTGATTTGAAACAAAATGCACACAGAATAATGTGCAATGGCCTTTTTGTAACATCATTTACCAAGCTTTCTGCAAGTTTTGTATTGTTGTGATATGAAAAGAAACAGAACAACAAAACAGTTACAACTTGTGCTTGTGATACCACTCCTACCCTTTCCACTTTATTAGATTACTTGTCTGATATTGAAACAAGAAAAATAAATTTTATTCACACAATATCTCCCATATTCTTTGTAACATCCCAAGAACTGCAAAGCTAATGAAATACTTTAAAAGTAGTTTTGAAAAAACAGTGCACAAATCCTTTATGCAGAGCTGAGTTGTTATTCATGATAAGACATTAATACCTCTGAAATGGAAGCTTTAACACATGTCCTTCTGACATGGAACCAAAAATTCCACAATTAATCAGAAACTAACACATCGTCCTTAATAATTATGGATTCTTAAGACTTTTCATGTGACCGGTAGCAGCTCCTCACAGACTGTGTGGTTCAGTTGGAGCAGCAGTTGGACACACTGAGGAGGATACAGGGCTGGCTGCTCAACTTTTCAGGGTTTCCTTGTTTTAGGCAAGATAGAGAGGAAAGTAATAGAGGTGGAGGAGTTCCATTACTAATCAGGAAGAATGTCACATCTGCACTCAGAGAATATACTGGAAGGCTCATCCACTGAGGCAATATGGGCTGAGCTCAAAAATAAGATGGGTGCAATCACTGACAAAGGATTCTGCTGTTGCACCCCCCTAAACCCCCACAGCCACTGAGACATTGAGGAATAAATATGAAGGCAGATTATGGAAAAATGCAATAACAGCACCATTGTCATAGTGGGTGACTAACTTCCTCAATATTGACGAGGACTCCCTTACAGCAAGAGGCTTAGACAGGGCAGAATTTGTTAACTGCATCCAGGATAGTTTTTTGAAACAGTATGTGGATAGTCCAACTAGAGAAGGGGCTATTCTGGAACTTGTATTCGCCAATGAGCTTGGCCTTCAGTGGGAAAGCATTTTAGAAAAAGTGATTACAACTCCTTAAGTTTTACGATAGCTATGAATAAGGATCAGTCAGGACCTTGAGGGAAGGTACGAAATTTGGGGAGGGCAAGTTACGTCTGTATTAGACAGGAACAAAGGAGTGTTTATTGGAAGGAGCTGTCATCAGGTAAGTCCACATTTGACCTCTGGGGAACAAAAACAGAAGTTGCTGGAAAAGCTCAGGAATTCTGGCAGCATCTGTGAAGAAAAACCAGAGTTAACCCTTCTGAGGAACAGTCACCTGAAACGAAATGTTAACTCTGATTTCTCTTCACAGATGCTGCCAGACCTGCTGAGCTTTTCCAGCAACTTCTGTTTTTGTTTCTGATTTACAGAATCCACAGTGCTTTCTGCTTTTATTTACTCGTGGGAGTTGTTTAAAGACTTACTGAACAGAGTTCAGGACTGGTATGTCCCAGTAAGGAGGAAGGACAAAGCGGCAAGGTAAGGGACTCTTGGATAATGAGGGAGGTTGTCAATTTAGTCAAAATGGAAAAAGAAGCATGTGTAAAGTTTAGGAAGCTAAAATCGGACAGCACCCATGAGGAATATAAAGAAAGCAGGAAAGAACTCAAGCAGGGAATTAGGAGAGCAAGTAGGGGCCATGAAATGACCTTCGCAAGTAGGGTTAAAGAGAATACCAATGCATTCCAAAGACACATTAAAAAAAAGAGAATAACTAGGGTGAAGGTAGCATAAAGAAGCGCACTTGTGCCTGGGGGCAGAGGATGTGAGCAAAATCCTAAATAATACTTTGAGTTGGTATTCACCCAGAAGAAAGAGATGGATGATAGTGAGATTAATGTGGAGTATGTTAACGTGCTAGGGTATTTTGAGATCAAGGATGAATTGTTGTTGGGTCTCTTGAAGAGCATTAAGGTGAATATGTCCCCATGTCCCAATGGTATCTACCCCAGGTTATTGAGAGA